GGGGGGGGGGGGGGGGGGGGGGGGGGAATCCTGTAACTGGTAAATGAAGTTCATTTGCTCAACTTTCAACTGATACGTTTCAGACAAAAAAAAAAAAGTCGCACACCCCCTCATCTTTAAAGCAGAGCATGAAAAGCTTTGAGCAGTTAGGATTCTCGATGTCTGACATGAAGGTGGTGTGGGAGGCATGCAGTACAGATAAATGTTCAGTCAGCCCAAACAGAGCGAGCGGGTTTAAATCCAGGCTCTGCTGCTCACCAAGAATGTGATCTTGACTAAACTGCTTGATCTTTCTGAGCCTCAGTTTCCTTATTTGTCTTGTAGGCTTAAAAATACTCATCTGCTGGGACTGTGGTGAGGACAAAATCACGTAAAACATGCGAAGCGCTTGCCTGGCGCGGTTGGGTAGGCGTTCAAAATGGTAATTTCCTTCCTCTTTCCCTCTTAAGTGTAACTCACTGTTTGGGAGAGAGGAGAATCAAATTTAGTCAGAACTGGAAGAGCTCTTACAGAAGGATGATTTGTTTAACTATGTGTCTTTTTTCACTTGAGAAAACTGCAACTAGTGAGGATTGTTCGGTGAGCCAAGGATCTGAAGCCAGAGCTGCATTGCCCAGGAGCAGGCAAGACTTTGTAGCAAGCCCAATGTCACCCAAAGAAGTTGGATTTTGGCAATATAAGGCATGATCCTAGATGGAAATTGGTAATGAGAACTGAATATGTACATATAAACACGAATTACAAGTTATCATGCACGGGTAACTTATATTTATCAAATTCCAACTACATACTGGATGTTGTTCTATAGGCTTTCTACGTTAATTTTCTTTAAGAAATTTTCCAAACACTGCCCTATAGATATTAAAATACAGGCTTCTTACCTGTAGTAGCAAGAAAATCTGAGGTATAATTTACACCCCAAGGCTCCCCTGTGGGATCATAAACTAGATAGGGAAGGTTAGCATTGTCGAAATCAATACCCCATGTTATTGTGGTCTTTTTTTTTTTCTTCCTGCCTTTTACCTCAGAAACCTCTATTGTGCTTCTAGACAGACTCTTCTGAAACCTCTCCGGTTTTTCTGTTTAAAATTCAGCAGTGCTGCTCATTAAATACACAGCCAAGTTAAACTCTTATCTTGCTTTGATCCTCCTCTGCTCCCTTCCTAAGTCACCAATCATATATCTCCATGTATCTCTGAGATTGGAACCCAAGGCAACTGAGGTAATGTGGCTCCTCCAAGATAAACACAAACGAGGAGGCCTTTTTACAACACTACTGTAGGTCCCTTGGAATATAATTAAAGACAGAAATTTCAAAATTGAAATTTAATGATGTTCAGATTAGGGCAGGGAGTTACAGTGTCCGTATTGAATCTCCCAACATGTCTGGGGCCCGGGACAGCTGACCCAGGCATCCTACCCAAGGTTCAGGACTGTGTCTCCCCTTCCCATTCTAACCCTTTGCTTCAGCCATTCTGAAGTGCTTACGGTTTCCTTCGCTCAGTAGGCTATTTCATGATCTATGTTTGCCTGAAATATACCCCTCTCTCTGTTTGTCTGGTTTATATTTTCCCACCCTCTAAGACATACCTCTGGGGCCATCTTCTTTCAGAAGCCTTTCCTGGATCTTCTTCTTGTTACCAACACAACTCTCCTTTATATCTCCATGTATCCTTTGTGGAAACATGACTCCTAAGACACTTCCTTATTTTCAAATCTGCCTTTCACTGTAATAATGGGTGAGATTTTTAAGGATAGGTTCCATTTTCTTATGCATCTTTTTGAATTCTTAGTACCTGGCACATTATCTGGTACAATGTAAATGCTCAGTAAAATTTTACGTAATGGCAGATATGTCCAAAGTAATGGTGTCTAAAATCTTATTATGTGACCACCACCTTAATATGAACTCTTAGCTATAGTACTAAATGATTATCTCTTTATACTCATGGTAATGTCTTAAGATAATAAGAGAACATATTGAAGAAAAGACAAAGGATACTTTGCCATGAGACTGAAGGTAAGTAAATAAACCAAATTCTTCAAGAGCTTGGGACAGCACTGGTTCTGCGTGGAGCCTGAGAGATAGTGGTAGTGGGATGGTACTGATGAGGGACAAACTTGATCCACTCTACAGCGTGTGTGTGGACATTCCTATTAAACTTTCCTTCACATCTGTTACAATAGTCACACAAAAATCTCTAACAATAATGTACTCACCTACCCCAAAGCAAGAGCAATTTTATTTCAAGTCTCCAATTTTCATATAAAAATTAACGTGGATTTTAGATCCCACTCAGTACTAGGTCCATAACTGTAATAATAAAAAGTATGACTTTCTCCCCAAACTTTGCCTAAGAGATGTTGTAAGATGATTTTGCCGTGTTTAGCCAATGGTTTCTAGCATTCTTGGCCGTGCCCAGTGACTCCATGGGTGTGCTCAGTTTAAGTCCAGTAACTGGAAATACAAGCCCAAGTTCTGGAAAGAGTTTGGGCTACAGAGAGATATGTGAGGATACTTCAAAACCTTGACTCATTGATCTTACCCAGCAGAGTGGAAAACGTGAGAAGAGAAAAACACCGAACTTTGATTTACAACATCCTTTACTGGGCAGAGAAGAGAGGAAAAACCAGTGGAAAAAACTATTCCGATGTAAAGATCAAATGTGGCCTCTTGAAATTAGTGAGGGGCACAGGTAGCGGATTAGACTCCTCAAAACACATACACAGACGTGCATATTTCATCTTATCAAATTACATTTATAGTGCTAATTCCCTTTACCTCAAATCTTCAAATATTTGGGCGATTGTAATTTTTTAGCTTTATAGCAATTAAATTTGCATGAAAAGGCCACTACCATTTCATTTTAGTCTAGAATTAATGCTCATTGATTGTGCTTCTGCATTTCTTAGAACCATTTTAGTAATTCTTAGTATTAGTCTTAGTATTGGGAAGGGATATATGGTCCAACTTCTCTTCATCTCGGGAAT